TTCTTGTACCGGGCGAGATGGATGGAACAGGGATTAATGACAGGTAAAACCTCAATTATAGCGAGTGTAATTGCTGGAATAAGTTATACAAAGCTGCGGCCGTGTTCGCGTATCCACTCTGAACTGAAAAAGGAAACGGCGCGGCGTCGGGAATGCGAGCGCCTCGGTCTAACGATGATCGGCTCGCCTCTGAAAAACGAACAATGCGAGATCCTTGATGCGCTCGTTTTCATTATTAAACGAAGGACTGCCGTTGGAAACTGGCACACGCTTACATTAAATATGAACAGCGACCTCGTTCCTTCTGTCCATCGACTTTTTCCAACAGGCGAGTTAGTCACAAAGCGCGCGACGAACGCCTTAAGGCGATATCCCTTGTCGATTCGAATTGAAAAACTCGATTAAAACTCCGCTCTAACTCTGATCCATAAATATCCAGCTTCGTCGTATTGACCTGAAATATCTCGCCTGCACGATTAATCGACTATCCTCTGGAACGTTTAAAAGAAGAGAGTAACGCTTCGATAAATACGAGCCACCCTTTCTTCCTTCCTTCCTGCAAATTCCCCGCGGTGTCGTAAAGCAGTTGGCCCATTGCACATGCACCTATACACTATTCACGGCTCGAGCCACGAATTCGGCTCTAAACACGTTCATCTTGCCGTCGTGTTTCCCTCGGCCGTTTACGGTTGCATAAAAACGAGAGTTACTACGGTATAGTGTCTCGGAAATAGTGAAGAAAAACCCTGTCGATCTTTCGCACCTACAGAAATAAAGCGATCCTTCCAATCTAACCAGAAATTCTCTCGGTAACTTTTTCCATATCTGAGAAAGATTCTAACGATATTCCAACCAACGATCTCTTATTCATTTCCATCCAACGCCCTTCCACCGCAACAGCCATCAATTTCCAAGCTCTCATAGGAAAAAATGTCTGACTCGTCGACCGTGTGGACGTTCGCCTATCGAGATTTCCGTATTCACCGCAGACGGTTGGCTGGTTCACTTATTAATTCGCCACGACCGCTTTCTGACAGGCTGGAATCGCGTGTCCACGCCGGCAACCCCTTCTCCCATAGTATTCATAAAGGTCAGCGGTGCGAGGCTCGATCGCGAGTGCCACCTCTCGTGCACGTATTCCCATTCATTCGGTTACGTGGACGAGACACCTGTACAGCTAGCCGACAGCTAGCCGTGGACAGGTGAACTCGACGGACTTCCACCGGCTCCCGAAGAACGCTCTCCAGAAGCTCTATCGGAACAACGCGATTATAGCGGCTCGATCGTGTCCAATCAACGGCCACCGCGAAATAATGCAGCGGAAGAATTGATTTTTCGGGTTGTATGATGGAGGGTTGATTGGGGTTGAACAGGAACGTTTCGGTGGCTCGTGACGGTTCGATCCACGGACAAAATTATTATGACGGACCTTTTTCTACATCGATCGATAGGGAACATTGTTAAATTACGTATATATTCTGTACAATTTCACGTAGCTCGACAACGTTTGCAATAATTGTTCGAGTACACTGAGTCGAGTGAAATTGTCTAATAAAAGAAGCAAGATTTTTCAAGACACTCTTTTATTACGAAATGCTCTCCAATTGCCCTACTTTTACAAACGTTCCGACTTCTTTTTTAAGTAGTAATAACTTCGAAACTTCCATTGGAAAGTCAACCTCGATGAGACCACCGAAGAAACTTGTCCTTGATAAAGTTGCTATAAACCATACAACTTCTCTAATCTCCAATTATAAAACATCTTCTATTTTTCTCTTTCAACGAATTTCTAATACGAAAAATCTACTCGACGAGACGGCGGATAGCGCGACCATTTGGACGCCGTGTCGAAATCGAATCGACACACGGTGTCCGCGTTCTTTCGTCCAGCGACGAGGGAAAACGAGATTTTAATATTTAAACCACGCCACGATACAATAAGTGTAATAAGCATAGAGAGAAAGAGAGAGAGAGGCGACCGTTGGCTAGCGCACAAGAGACGGTTGAAATATTAATGCTGACATTTCGTTGGTTTTGCGGTAGTTTAACCGCACCCCCGCGCCTCTCGCCGACTTTCAAGGCTGCGGTTTTCGGGGAACGATATTACACTCGGCAGTTTCCGTCGCGATATATTCTAATCGCGGTGAACTCGCAACGAACCACGCGTTTTCTCCGACTTTCCACATTTCTCTCTCTCTCACGGCAGGGTCAAGCCAACTCACCCCTCGTTCTTCCTCTCTCTCTCTCTCTATCTATCGAGAGAAGCACCATGAATACCAGATGCGGGATCTGGATACATCTAGTTTGCGTGGATCCAGCCCTCTCGTCAATTTTTAAGAACCAGCTTGTAATACGTATGCACCGTAGCTCGATATGGAAACCACGTCCACGGCGTGAATACAGCGGGGAAAAATCGTGACGGCGGAAACGGGCGTGAATAACGATGAGAAATCGGTGCTGGAACGGGTCTCTACCACGTTTCAACAGAGATTTAATACTATTTCTGATTGCTCGACGAGTTTTATTCTTGGTAAAAGAGTGAAACGAACGATGCAAAGGGAAGTTCGAAACGAGACTATCAGATTATACGACACCACCACCACCACACACCGGTGAAATTATCTCGAATTCATCGAGGTAAAAATCCAAAGAAGATTCTCTTTCCACGTCAAGATAAGCGAACAAGCGTTTCCTCTGTTGAGAGAGAGAGAGAGAGAAATCCTAATCCGTACAAGCCGGAAACTTCACGATAGAACGAGCCAAGGAAGAAGCAAAAGGGTGAGTGAAAGAAGGAAGTAGAAAAAGGAGAAGAAAAGGAAGGCAACTGTGGAAACAGCGTTCTTGCACGTGAGCCGAGACTTTTTCCAATTACAAACGGCGCCATTCGCGAGCCGGCTGGCGGCGATTATTTTTAAAACAAGAATATTCCCTTCCGTCCCGGGACATAATGAGGAGTGTGGGGAGGCACGGTCGGAGGGCGCGATAATGGCGACCGTTATGAAGAAATCAACCCACCCCCGTGTCCAACTCGAGCCGCCCCTCTGCCCACTTGATCTTCCGTCGCCATGGAGACCGCCTTGTCCAGCGGACCCCTACCGAGAGCTCACGGGCTGGTCGCGGGCATTCTCTCTTGTTATGAGGCGAGCTCCACCCGCGAAAGGGTTGCGCGCGGCCACCGATCACTTTCAAAAGCGTATCGTCGCTGGATCTCGAGGTACTTACATACATCTGAGAATTTTTCGCGACAGTTGCTCT